CTAGTTGAACAGCGAGTTAATTCGCAGTTATCGAGGACGATGTCAGGTCGTGATCTGTTTGGTGACTGACCACCTTTAATAAGTGGTAGACCACCTTCGAGAAATGTCAACCTTCACGAAGTGCCAAACAGTCGGCGGTCAGAGGACTCCAGTGCCAAAAGCATTCTTAGGGGACCTTGCGGTCGTGTTCAGAACATATTGGCGTAGCATTAGATGCCCACCAAGCAGTTCTGGATGTCGGTTATATCGACACATCATAAGATGCCTTACAAGCAAGCAGCGGCTGCTTGTAGGACCTTCTACCCGGTATGGATCTTTGAGAGCAGAGTTTCGCACTCCACGGTGAGATCCACGTCGGATAGGTGGACCTGCCATCCTACTGCTGTTAGTTGTAGTCATCTTAAGGGAGTCGATGAGGTGAGGACCCGACAACGAAAACTCTCTGTGGACTTTGGTGCTATGTTTTTGGAACTTATTGGCGTAGCACTAGATGCTCACCAAGGAGTTTTGGATGTCGGTTATATCTACAAATCATAAGATGCCTAACAAGCAAGCAGCGGCTACTTGCAGGACCTTCTACCCGGTGTGGATCTTTGAGAGCAGAGTTTCGCACTTCACCGTGAGATCCATATCGGATAGGTGGACCTGCCATCCTATCGCTGTCAGCTGTAGTCATCTTGAGGGAGTCGATGAGGTGAGGACCCGACAAAGAACACTGTCTGGGGACTTTGGTGTCGTGTAAGGAACATATTGGTGTAGCACTAGATGCTCACTAAGCAGTTCTGGATGTCTCTCATATCGACACATCATAAGATGCCTTACAAGCAAGCACCGGCTGCTTGCAGGACCTTCTACCCGGTATGGATCTTTGAGAGCAGAGTTTTGCACTCCACCGTCAGATCCCCATCTGGTAGGAGGACCTGCCATCCTACCGCTGTTGGTTGTAGTCATCTTGAGAGTCGATGTGGTGAGGACCCGACAAAGAACACTCTTAGGGGACTTTGCTGCTGTGTTTGGAACTTATTGGCATAGCACTAGATGCTCACCAAGCAGTTATGGATGTCGGTTATATCGACACATCATAAGATGCATTCCAAGCAAGCAGCGACTGCTTGCATGACCTTCTACCCGGTCTGGATCTTTGAGAGCGGAGTTTCGCACTCCACCGTGAGATCCACATCGGATAGGCGGACCTGCCATCCTGTCGCCGTTGGCTGTAGTCATCTTGAGAGTCGATGAGGTGAGGACCCGACGATGTTCCAATTGGGACGTGCTCTTGTTTCGTGATGTGCTGCTTACAGGCGGTGCGTTCGATCCCCTCCTCGACGTGAAGCAAAGTGCGAGGGAATTGCTCAGGGCTCACACCAGAAGTGCGATTGAACTCGCACTTTGATGGAGAAGCAGTTGCGAAGTCCATCAGTGCGACAATTTAATATGGACATTGGCTTGTCATTTCTATATCACAGGTTGAAAATGCCATCAAATCTTTCTGTGTAGAGAATTCATATCCATTCATACAAGTATCTCTTGTCATCGCAAACACCGAGATGAAAACATCTAAAGTCAAATTGCAAAGCACACAGAGGCATCGCAAACATCGAGGAGAAAACATCTCAAGTTGCGCACTGTTTTTCCAAAGGTGAAGTCTTAGAGCAGACGATCAATTTTCAGAAACCATTCTATGTAGAAAATTGATTCAAGGACAAATTGCAAAGCACAGAGACTTTCCAAATTGAACGCAAAATATCATACAATGCCACATTGCGAAGTGCACGGAGGCTTTCCAAAAATCACAAAGTACATGGAGCCAAAGTGCAAATATGTTCTCATTTCCCATATGGAACCAACAGCTCAGTGCACCGCTGAATCCGTTGAACAACTTCAAGCACAAGTCAAATTGCAAAGCACACAGAGACATCGCAAACATCGAGGGGAAACATCTTAAGTTGCCTAGTGTTTTTCCAAAGGGGAAGTCTCACAACACACGAACAGGTACCAGAAACCATTCAATGCAGAAAATTCATTCGAGGGCAAATTACAAAGCATACAGAGACGTTTCAAAAAGTCATTGAACGCGAAATATCATACAATCCCACATTGCAAAGTGCATGGAGGCTTTTCAAATATCACAAAGTACATGGAGCCAAAATGCGAATATGTTCTCATTTCTCACATGGAACCAACAGTTCAATCACAAATGTACGACATCCGAAGTGTGAATATGTTCTCATTTCTCATACGGAAACAACAACCAGCATGCCGTGGAGAGCACGAGATGTATTCCGGGGATAACAAAATTGGTGATCACTTAGTGCACCGCTGAATCCGTAAAACAACTTCAAGCACACATACATTCTGACGACAATTGGTTTCCGTATGGAGAACAAGTTCGCAACTGTCATAAGGAACCAACAGACAACATTCAATGGAGACAAGCAGAGGGGGTGAATCGTAAAATGGGGCGGCACACGCAGAACAAGGGCGAGCCAAAACAAATGAAAGCTGGGTGGTCGGGGTGGGGCGGGGGAGAGGGGCTTTCACACTAGAAAGTCTCGCGAACGAAAAAGATAAGCACGAAACAATTTGGCGACCAAGAATACATTGTCAATATCTTTCACATGAGCAAGAGAGGAGCACAACCTCGAAATTAACAAACGCAGCACGGTGCTGCCGCGGTCTGAGAGGACATAAGGAGAACAACCCGAAAATAAACCAAAGGAGCACAAAGTTGGGATATTCACATCCGATATGTAAGCGTCTACTTAAAAGGAAGTGCACGACGTGGCTAGGATATTTACATCGGCATCTTAGCTTCCTCTTCACGTAAGCGTCCGCTGCTAGCCTGCTACCCACTAGCAGATGTTGCGCGGCAAGCAATGAGAACAACCCTAAAACGAACAAAGGCAGCAAGGCGCTGCCGAAAGTCCTACGAATAAAGATGACAGGTTCCACGAAATGAAAAACCCTTTAAAAAATTGGTACAGCACGAGGCTGGGATATTCACATCGACACCTAAAAACGTCCTCTGCAATCCGGTACCTCATCAAAACAACAACACAACTCGAACCGACTGACTGCCAGATGAAGTGGGAATAGATTCGCATTTCTGCTTATGGCCTTTGGAAAAAAAAACTACGCATATTTTAACAATAGGGGTATTATTCAGAGCCTTGGAGTATGTCCACCGCAATCCTCAGCCGAATGCTTGGAATGTCGCTTTGAGCTATTGGAAATGGTGGCGGACAGCCGCATGCAAGAAATGAAGTGAAGGCAAGCATGAAAACACCGCAGCTCGACCCGTCCGATTGTTGAGGGACACCACGAAGAACCACCTTGGGCTCCAGGAGATCAACTTTTGTTTTTGGACCATAATGACAAACCGCTTCGTCACGGAGGTATTGCGTGAAGTTCGCAATCACATCGGAAAAAAAACCGCCATCGTCTTGTACGAGGGAGTCGTAGTACTCCAGTTGTTGTTCTCGAAGACACAATAGGGTCCAATGCACTCCATGTTTATGGACAGGAATCAAGACCATCTCGTGCGAGAAAATATCCACATCTTTTGTCCATCTCGCAACCCTATCATGTCGATAGCCGCCACGGACGAGCTTGGTATAGAAAAATGGACTGAAAATGTAAAGAGAGGGACACCCAGGCAACGCAGCGTTGGCAAGCAAGACCAAGTACGACTCCACCACCTCGTCGGAAAGCCATTCCCCCTGAACAAGAGTTTGCGGACTTTTTCTGCTCAACGGAATTGAACTGACCCCTTTGCGAACCGAGCGCACCACCTCTTGGCCGTTGCTGTAATCTCCACAGACGTTCCGCAACATTTTCAAGTCCATGGCGCTAAGCTCCTCAGTAGGCAACGGAACGCGAAAACATCATGTAGCCCCAGTTGCACAAACACCTACGAACAAGTGTGAGGAGTGAGCTCAAACCTCGTGGTGGAATGGCTAAGAACTGTCTGCCCTTTTCCCAGAAAAGTTGTATCCCTGACTATTGAATGTGTCCTTCGCGATGTAATTAGGACACGGGTCTTTCAAGACAGCCCGTTCGCCATCGTCATCAGACCCATCAGACAAAGCAGTAACGCTCTCAATAAACGCAGCCAAATGTTTCCGCAGACCTTCCTCCTCATCTATTCCACAAGCCTTCAGAACCCTGACAACTCTCTAGGAAAGGCAGGCATCTGGACCCTTTTAAACAACCCTACACTTGACGACTTCTTCGGTAAATCGACCAATGACCTCCCTGAAAGACGTTTTTCGCGCACGGCTTTTAAAGGCTTCATGGGCAGGGACATTAACAACCTCACACCTGTAGAACATTGAAAACAACCTACAACCGACAAGCTTTTTTTTAACCAGTGGTAATAGGTACATTAGCCCATGACATCAATATGGACGAACACAGAGCTGGCTATTGAAAGATATTCGAGTGGTCCTATTCATAAATCTTACCGTGCTCGGGAGCCCTTTGAGGGAACTCGCCCTCCTGTCGCGCCACTGCGCCAATGTCCACGGACGATTCGAGGATCTGAACCTCCGCCACGACTGTGTCGCTAACCAGCTCGGTGGCAGCTGAGTCGCTTGGCAAGTCGATGGCTTCATGAAGCACCATTTCCCGACCGGTACCGAGGACAGATGCTCGATCACCCTGTTCGGCACCTCAAGGGGTGGACGGAGAATCATGATCTTTCCGCTCTGGATCCATCTTGATGCTGACGACCACCTCACCGCCTTCCACGGAGGATTCGACGTTCTGCATCTCAGCAACGCGTGAGGCGCTAACCAGCTCGGTGACAGTCGAGTCGTCACCCAACTCTATGGCTTCATGAAGCACCATTCCCCAAGCGGTGCTCAGGACAGACGCTCGACCACCCTGTTCTTCCCCGCAACGGGTGGGGGAAGAATCACCATTTTTCCGCTGTGGATCCGTCCGGATGTCGACAGTCACCTCACCGTATTCCACCACGGGTTCTCCTTCGCCATGAACCCGAGCTTCCACCGCGGGTTCTTCTTCGTCTTCATCGTCGCCAAGAACGGGAGCTTGCACGGACGTCCACTGACCTCCCTTAACGACACCCTCTCGAGTCGTGGCCACAGCCGAGCGAATGTGCAGAACCTCTTCGCACGTCCCGATCATCAGCGCTCGTGCGTGGAGCCACTTCACGTCTTCACGAGCCGGCCCGTGTCGAGTCTCCTCTCCCCATTGTACAACATGCGTTTCCCCTGGAGCTCTTGCACTCTCGCTGTCAGTGTCTACGGACGCACCCTCCGAAGCATGACGTTCACACTCGCTACCCCCGGTCTCCAACACTTTGCGAGACTGCCAGCGTTGAGTCTCCTTTTCCCGATGTGCAGCACGCGTTCCTAGAGAGTGTTCGTCTTCACTAGGAGTGTGATGTTCGTTCTCACTACCCCCGGTCTCCAACACTCCTGGAGCGGGCCCCTCCAGCACCTCGCGAGACCGCCAGTCTCGAGTCTCAACACATGAGAAAGGAGGCGAGCAGGGCAACCCTGTGTCCAACTGAAGATGCGGGGGCCAGGACGTCACATTTTCTTGGCCCCGCGGAACTGTTGCGTGAGGAGCACTTATGGCGGAGGGCGACGTCAGCAAATCCGAATGTATTCGGAGTTTGTGGCGGTCGCCCGAGCTGAGGGAACCGGAGGTCGCACCTTCGCTCCTTCGCAATGCAGGCATCCCGCCCTCCAGGCAAAACGAAGACGTGGAGCAAGGTGTTGAGCACAGGAGACCTCTGTTGCGCACGGTGGGATGGACTCTCCTGGGCAACGGGAAACAAACTCCTCGCAGACAAGTGCGAATCTACTCGCACTTGATCAGACGTCAGGGTGGCCTCGTCTTGCATGTCGGAATCTCGACTCCCTACGCAGTGGGGGTCAGTTTCCATATACTGGGGACTCCCGGACGTTCTACGCTTTCCGCCTGACCCCTTCCCGCCCGACCCCTTTCCGCCCGACCCCTTTCGGCCGGACGCCTTCTCAACCGACGATGTCTCGCCCGTCCCCTTTCCGTTAAACTGTGAGCCGTCTCCTCCGCCACCTCTGCCGTCTCCTTCGTCTCCTCCACTACCCCCTCCCGGATGCTGACCGGTCGGCGGAGGTTGCGACATGAGCCAGTCAATGCCACGAGACGGTGTTGTTCCGAGTGCGTAGAAAGGCGCTCGAAACTCCAACATGTTGTTGGCGGTCAACTCATGTAGCTTTTGTTCTGCATACGCATCGACGTCTTGATCGTTCCTCTCGGGGTTCATGAGACTCAAATGCTCCACCAGAGCAGTTTTTGCCTTCCTCTTAAATGCACCCGCTCCCAGTCTCTTCAGTCCACTCCACTTGCCATCGGCCTCCTTTATTGCCATGACCCATATTTCATTCCTCACAGCAGGTTGGAATATCCTTGGGTGAGTGACGACGTTGTGTCCCCAGACATCCTCCGACGTGAACCGGTGATGCTTGCCGAAGAAGTAGAGTCTGTCATTCTGCCAGGTGTCATGGTCCACAGGGAGCCTGTTACAAGGTTCTTGATCATAGTCTCTCTCTTCCTCCTCGTCATTAGACGATTGGTCGTCGACCTGTTCGCCCAGAAACACACGCTTCAAACCGGCAGGGAACGTGCTATATCTCCGAGGGCCACCTTCCTCTTCATCACCAACCTCTCCAACCACCCGAGGAAGTGGCATGGACTCGAAATCGAAGGTTTCGAAGTCACTCAGCTCCTCTATGTCTTCAGCGTCGAAAGGGTCCTCCTCGTCAAACTATGACTTGTAGTTTTCGAGAGTGAGCGGTTCGGCCAGCGTGAAGTAAACGTGCTCCAACCTTCTCAAGGAGTGCGAGACAGACTCCCTAGGTGCACCGTGGTACCCATTGAGCACAACGAACACCAGGTTTCTCCACCGACTGTATTCGAGGTCGGTCGGACCAGGCGGTCCGGGTCCGAAAAGGAAGTCCCAAACGTCCGTCCTTTTGTTCCCCGACAATTTCCAATACATGTCACGTTTGGGATCCCAGTTTCGTTCGCCGGTGGTGCGGGCAAACTCGCAAGCATTGCGAGTGTCTGCAACGCGTGCCTTCCCGAACTTGTGAAGGTAATCGATCATCTTCGCCTCCTTCTCCAACGCGACGACGTTCCGACCAGTGTGCAGGGGTTCCCACACGACAGACGCATGCGCCTTCCCAAAGAAAAAAATAGTTTGATGTGCATGTGCACCTTGAAATGGTGGATATGCAGACAATCACACGTTGCCTCTCGCACCTATTGCAACTATTGCCTCTCGCACCTCTATATACTACTTCATACACGTTGCCTCTGACACCTATTGCAATGCCTCTCAAACCTCTATCTACTACTTGTTTTTTGCTTCAAACGTTTTTCCGGAAACAACCCCTGTCTACTTTGCAATGTGCGGTTCAGTGGTTTGAACATTTCTCGCAACTCTGCGTGCGCTGTTTCCATTTACGATGGTGCAGTGTTAGGAAAAGACTATGCAAGTTGCGAGTGTTTCCATCTCCACGTTGCGGTGATAAAAGTAAATGTTCTGAATGGATGTTATGTATCTTGTCCATGCAAAGAAATGACACGAGTGTTTCGATCTTCGATGTTCATGCCAATGTCTTACAGTCCTATACATGCTCATGTCAAGGAGGGGATCGATGTTTGCGATGATAAGAGTGAATGTTATGAATTTATGTTATTGATTTGTCCATGCAAATGACAAGCCAGCATCCGTATTGTATCACCGAGCTGATGGTGTGCGTTCATGTTGTCCATCTAAATGAGAGTTCACTCCGACTTATGGTGTGTACCCCGAGCAATCCGCTAGTTGTCCATGCAAATGTCCAAGAACTGATAACCTGTGGGATCTGGAGTTCAATTTTGTTTCTTGAGTGCGAAACTCTGCTCGAAACAGATCCAAATCTAACAGGAAGTACCGCCACAGACCAAGGTTCCCTTATAATGCGTGGCCATCCGTACAGACCGCTGCTCAGTCACCAAACCGATATCTGCGAATTGATTCGCTGTTCAACTAGTATCTGTCAATGCCTTTCCAGGTCTCTCTCTCTCTCT